ACTGTTTTTCCTCCCCTGTCAGTTCCAATCCATCATTGTGTGAGTCGGACTCGAAGGAATCAGTGATCGGAACATTGACTAGGCCGTCATGAAGTGCCGATGTGGCACCCAAGAGATCAACGAAGGTTTTCTCCTTCATGGCAAGCATCTCAGCAATGGAGGCATGAACGAGGATATCCTCGATCGCTGTATCCTTGGATCCTTCAACCAGATCCTTGGTCAACTGTGGGAAGGCAGCCACGTCATACGTCGCGGCCCATATTAGATCCGCCCAGTTATCAAAGCGAAGAACAGAGATTAGAGGGGGGTATGGGGGAGGAACATTAAGGGAGTTGACCTTGACGAAGTCAAGGACCGCGGGGCTGGCCAGGGCAATTAATGCCTGGGCCGGCCTGGAGGGTGCTTTGAATTGGTCCATCCATGTTTGCCCCCCTTGCACGAGATCCTTGTACCACCCATTCACCGTGAAGGACAGCTTCTGCCACATGCACAGACAACATGGTTTTCAGTACCGAAAGCAATTATGAGTATTATCAATGCAATATATTTCCCTTAATTAGGATAATACTTCGATTTCCATACCAACCTTATACAGGATCGTTTTTTAATAGGCAAAATTGCACATATTAATGAGAGGCTCAACAAAGAGGATTCAACCCCTTCGATAGCAACAGAAGGGACATATACATTCCCTTGCTATGTGTGTGTTTTGTTTGAACAGTACGCTACTACACAATACTGCGCAGCGAACCAACCCTTGACATAATGACACGCAACCAAAAAATTGCCCAATATAATAACGATCCTATGATAAAGGTTTTTTGGAGTTTCGAAACATAATTTCCCATGGGCTGCATCAAATGAACTCGAATCATTCGATACTTTTTTTCACCAAAAAATACTTGTCGCACGGGAATAAGCCATTAGACGTTTTTTGGGGGGGCAGGAGGCTGGGTCTTGCGCATATAAGGCTATCAACAAGGATTTGGCCAATTTTATGATACAGACGTTTGTTTATTATATAGGAATAATAGAGGATACTGCACGGATCCTTCGTTTCGAACAAACCAAGTCATGCATATGAAAGCTTCGTAATATCAAACCAACGCATCATCAAACGAGAAGCCAATCGAGGCAAAACATCCATATTTTATGTATCGAATATATCAGTCATTCGTCATCGGTGCTATTAAGGAACACGCATCAGAATTTATAAAAATACTCTACCATATTGAGAACATATGCACTTTTACATAATTCAGGATTTACTACATACAAAGCAAATCACCCCAAGAGCGAATACAAGACGCGCAAATACACACGATGAATGATTTCGAGAAGACGAAAACTGCGATCCAAATAGGATTGTACTCAAGACATATATAGGCCACAGATACAAGTCCGCAGTCCAACTCGTCCGATCACTCCCCAGACACTTCCTGCAAAACTTTATCGAGGAAACCCATCAATCCTTCCGCAGAACTTCTCTTTTAACAGCACCTTTCATGAAACTATCTCCTCCCGATCCAGCTAGCACTCATTACACTTGCCTTTTCCATCCCCAAGTCCCTCCTCCTTGTCCAAAAAAACTCGTGCCATCACCAAGGCGCTACTCACCATTATCCCCCAGATTCCTCTCATCTCGACCCGCCAACATAGTAGAAAAGAGCAACCCCGCCCCTATCTCAATCAACCCTCACCGTTACCTGCCCATAACCTGAGGGAGTACCACATGGATATCCGACGACCCAACCCATCTCCTTCTTATCCAACATATACACTTGTCCCCTCCGCTCGTGGGCCCCGCTTCCCGGTCCATAGAGACTCGTGTCATCATCACAGCGTTATTCGCTACTACCACCCAGATTCCCTTCCTTGCAACCCGTTAATCCAGTAGAAAAGAGTAAGCCGGCTCTTATTATAATCAATCCTCACTGTTGAACGCCCCACAGCCCAAAGGAGTATCACACGGATAACTGATGACCCAATTCACCAATACTCTGAAAAAATACTCATTACTACATCTATACAATTTGCAGAAGACCTAACGCTTTTTAGAAGACGAAGCCGTGTGCAATCACAGACTCCTAGCGAAACAGGCAGGAATGCATACACGTCATATGCAGGCTACTCCGCCCTCTTCAGGGCCGACACATTCATCCACCACTACCCCTCTCCACAGTTACTCTTAAGCAGCCACCTACTCTACTTATTATTGACAACATCAATCAATCAGCCTCGTGGACCCATTGCCATTTGCTCCGTTTAGCTTTACCACACCCTCGCAAACACCAAACGTAATTGATACGCCCCTCGCTCCGTTAGGCCCAGCAGAATTTCTTTTGGGGTACAAACCAACGCTAATCACCCATTGGTCGAAAGAATATCACCAAGAAAGTCGACGAAAAAATTCTCCGATAGCTACAGATAACACCGAAACCTATGCTCAGCAAGGATACTGTCATTACGAGAATCAAAGGGGAAGCCCAATCTTTTGCTGTACAGATCCCCTCATCCACACCCCACCCAGGCGCCCAACCATACAGTAGCATAATTGCCATAGCACATGAAGACATCCAAGCGCTAAAACAAGAAAGGGACATGGCGAGGAGCATAAACGATACACCCTCCATCACGCTATTCCTTATGGCAGAATTCCGACTGCACAGTCTTTGACGACAAATTGTTGCAAGGGTAGTTCAAAATACAACCCTGATAATGTACGATAGAAAACTCCATAACCATGAAGAATGCAAGTAACGCAAGGAAGAGGGCAAAAATGGCAACAATGGCTATTGATGCGTGCGCAGCCTCCATTCGTAGTGTACAAAGCACCCGAGTTGATATTTAACAGCGGTTCATCAATTCCTAATCAATCACTCACAAACAGATGACATGCCATGAAAAGAGGAGGGGGAAGAGAGAGAAAAATAGATATGACAAAAACAGGTTAGGCAACTATATATCCTACGTTATAACCTCAATAAAGCATACATAGATTTACCATTTCGACTGAACGACCCCATAGTGTCGACGAAACCGTAGGGTATTTAGTAGGAGCTCCCAAAAGCCTTTTCGCCAATCCCTACAATGATTGGCTCATCAGGGGAAATAGTACCCTAAGTTATCGTGTCGAAAGGGATACGGCCTTCTTTCGAGCCAAGAAAAGGAGGGGATATGGGGGCGATGGAGGAAGGGGGTCAGAGACTTTTTACCACTCTCGACGAAGCCGCTGTCCCATTCATGCCTTTCCTGCGATTTAGCACGTTGATGTACTGCTAGAAAGCAGGGACAAGAAGGAGAGCCGCCAGGGATTATCCCAGCCCCAGGCAGGATGACTGATGAGTAGAGCGGGAGGAAGACAGGAAGCTCCGAGATTGGCGCGACGGGAGGAAGCAGGGCAAGAAGGGATAGATGAAGCATGATACGCTGAGCGGATATCATCCAGGTCTACGCCGTAGCCACGTTGCCACAATTGACGAGCAACTCCGTTGGGTGGCCCTTGGTTCAGTGTTTTACCGAGTACCAAGGCACCACACCTCCGTGCGCTCGAAGTGAGAGGACGAATCATGCACAACTACTAGAATAAATACTTCCGCTGGCTTTGCATTTTCCCAAAAATGTGTGCCTACCGCAATGATTAAGATTAGCATCTACCCTTTACAATTCCTATACACGGTAGGGGCGGGTAGAAAATTCAAAACCCCTTAGCCGGGTTGAGGGTACTTCTTTTTAGGGGCTCATTCATCAATCGAAGGGCAGGACTGGCAGACCCACTGAAAAAGTATGCCGAATCCCATATCCTTTTCTAGTTTTGTCCCTACCTTTTTTTTGGTATATATTTATAAATATAAAAAAAAAACAGAAAGATAGGAGGCTTTCATAGGATTCATCTGCAAGGACTCCTGTTTTTAAATAACCGCATTGGTTTGATTCCTATACGTAACAGCCTCCATCTTTGTTCAAGCTCCGATTTTAAATGGCCAGTTAAGAATATACCTTTTTTTATTGGGGGGGGCATTATATATGTATAATTTCCTAATGTATGTATGTGTGTGTGTGTGTGTGTGWGWGWGWGWGAGAGRKAGAGRGAGAGMGAGAGAGAGAGAGAGARAGRGAGAGARAGRGAGAGAGAGAGAGAGAGAGAGAGAGAGARAGAGAGAGARAGAGAGAGAGAGAGAGAGAGAGCAGGAACGAGGCAAAAGAGTTAACGTCCGCAAGGAACACCACCAACACTGAGGAAACAATTGCAATGAGAAAGGGTTGCTCTACCTTCCTGGCTGGCCGTCGCTGAGGACTTCGCTGACGGGGGAAGTTGTGCGTGAAAGGAGAGTGAGAGCAGACAAGAGTAGTGAAAGAGAAGAGCAGTGGTCAACAGGACTGCTTTTTTTTTTTTTTTTTTTTTAAGAAAAAGGTTGGTCTACCTTCCTGGCTGACGTCGCAGAGGACCTCGTTGACGGGGGAAGTTTGTTGTCCATGAAATGAGAGTGACAGCGGACAAACGTAGTGGAAGACAAGGGAGAGGGGGAGGTCGACAACAAACAACGAAGACGACACGGGAAGGGACTTACCTGGTGGGTTGACAGACCTACAGGTAAGACACACACACACACACACACACACACACACACACACACACACACACACAGATGGCACCCCGTCCGCTTGGTGACGGTCAGAAACGGAAGTCGTGGTCCATCAAGGCGAAGTTGGATATCGTCAAAGAGTATGTGTCGGGTGTTAAAGGGAAAGGGTTCGACATTGTTGGGAGGAGATATGGGGTCGACAAATCCACACTGTGCCAGTAGGTCACGCAAAAAGACAAGTTGGAGGACCCTTTGAAAAACACAATGACGAACAGCAGAACACAACGCCGGCTTGGGGGTGGGGGGCAGAAGCCTGCGTACGAGGAGTTGGAGGAGCAGCTCGAGCAGTGGGTTTTGCAGAAGAACACAAGCGGGCTGAGAGTTAGAGATCAATACATACAGGCGAAAGCTCGACTGGTTTTTAAGCTATAGAAGGAGAAGGGAGAGGTGGAGGAGGGTGCGGTCTTCGATGGATCGACGGGCTGGATGGTGCGCTTTAAGCGTCAAAAGGGGTTTGTGTCGCGACGACACACAACCTCAAGGACCTTGCCTTCCGATGCTGCAGACACGTGCAGAGCTTTCATTGGCGAAATCCACAACGTCATTGACAAGCATAGCATTTCCCCAGTTAACGTTTTCAATATGGATCAAGTCCCGCAATACTTCGAGACAGAGTCTTCATCTACAATCGTGAAGCGAGGGACACGTGAGGTGCTGATGCGCAAAGCAAGCAGCTCGCACAAACGCTTCACGGCCACTTTCACCATCTCCATGACTGGTGAAATGTTGAAGCCTCACCTTCTTTTCATGAAGTTGAAGAACAAGCCAACAGTGGAAGGGCCGGTGGTTGTTGATGTTAACATGACGGGGATGTGGAGTACGGACACGATCATCTCATTCATCAACGACGCAATAACATCAACGAAAGAGACGGGGTTTAGCCGTCGGCCTGTTCTTCTGATCATCGATAGTTATGGACCTCATTTGAAGGTGGCTGAGAGTGAAAGGTTGAAGAAGATGAACATCCATGTTCGTATTGTCCCTCCCAACCTGACGGGTATTCTCCAACCTCTTGATGTTGATGTGAATCGGTCTTTCTAGCAATCTTATGGACACCAGTACGATGCATGCATCTCCAACGCTTTGGAGAACCCGTCCTTGCAGACCAAGACGGGCAATACGAAGACCCCAACATACCATATGGTTGCAGATTGGGTTTGCAAATGGGCGAAAACTAAGACAAAGGAGGATATCGCACACGCATTTGCAATGTGTGGTTTGGTGCGCAAGGAGGATTTTTACGTGGAGAAGTTGCACCCGCCGCTGAGAGCATTGTACAATGATGTGGTCGAAATAGATGACTGGAATGATGCGTATGCGGAAGAGTTTGCTGAGGCACCAATCCCTGTGAATGTAGATTTGCTCACTGCCCCGGAGTACTTCATTCTTAAGGATGTGATTGACGGTCAGCCAAATAGTTACTGGCAATGCCTTCGTCGGACTGTGTTGGGTAAAGCGCCGTTTATTACTTCTGTAGAGTTTCGGTCCAACACTGTAAACCACATGAAGACCATGGAAGTCCTTGCTGACATCACAGATGATGCATACTTTATTGATTTTGAGTCTGGTGCGAACCGTGATGAGGAGTACATAGCTTATGTCATCACTGAGATCCATACTGTGACTATTCGCATCCAAAGCAGGGAGGACTCAAGTTACCGGACTTTTGAGCAGCCGAACGCTATGACTATAATTGATCTTTTGCGTGTCGATGGTTTCTATGTGTTGAAGTTGTAGGACAGTTTGGAGTTGGAGCTTCCAGTTAGGGAATTCGAAAGTTACAACAGCCAGAGAGTTGCTTGGGTTTGTGGAAAAAGACCTGCAGGCTCTTCAGCCTGTAGCTAAGCTTGATGATGCTTCCAGTAAAATGGTTTGTTCTGGGATGTGATATAGAGGACACCAGTCTTAATCTTTCAAGTAATGACAGCTGAATTTTTTTTCTTTTGGGGGGGGGGGGAGCGCGGAGAAGGGGAACTGCTGCATTGCACATTAAAAGTTATAAAACTGGCACATTGCACATTAAACTGATTCATTGCACGTTAAACACTGCATAGCAAGTCATCCCAAAGGTTTACATTAAGTGCCTCCGCCCCCCCCGCCCCCCCCCCTCTTCTCTCTCTCTTGCTTGCCTAAACTGTGTTAAGTACCTGGTTGCTCGGCTCTACCTCCGCAGTAGGAGGGCAGTAGAACATGAGAAAGTGCTGCAGGAGGTACCTCCGCAGAAGGAGGGCAGCAGAATATTAGTAAGTGCTGCAGGAGGGAGCGGGAATGATTTATTGGGACTATTGGTCTGGTTCCCAGGGGGGCTGTTGTTTTATGCCATGCATTGTCTTCGTTTGTTTGGGGGTTGGTTCCCATGGGGTCTCTGCCCCATAAGCGAAACTGGGTAATGCTCCCAGTGTCTCTGTTTCTCCGGGTAGACTGTGAGGACCCCGACCTCATCAGATTTTTGACAATATTTAACAAAGTTTTATGGGGGGAGGAAAAAAACCGTGTGAAGGATTGACTCAAACTTTTGTCAAAGAGCTGCCTCCGGCCATTCGAAGTCCACTCAAGTAGGTGGGGAGGTGGAGCTGGATGGAGTGCTGACCAAGTTGTAAGGAACTGAAGAGTTTTACCCCCGAGTTAGGGGCATGTGTTGTTTCCCAGATCTTGGCCTCAGGGCCTGGAAGCTGGATCACTTAGATTGAGCTGTTTTTTTTTTCATATTATTCAAGGGGGTTGGTCCCCTCAAGGGCAATATCCCCATAAGCGGAACTGTGGAAAGCTCCCGGCCTGTTCCAACTCCGGGTAGACTGTGAGGACCCCGACCTCAAATTCTTATTGGAAATATATTATGCTTGTTTGGAAAAAAAAAAAAAAAAAACAAGTTCACTCAAGTAAATGTACAGTGCCGTAAAAAAACACAGACTCAACCTTTCTCGGCCTTTTGGCTAAGATCAAGTGTAGTATCTGTTCTGATCAGTTTAATATATGATCTGTGGTCCATCGGGACAAAAAAAAAAAAAAAAAAAAAAAAAAAAACTTAAGCCTGAGCGAAGCACCAACACCCAGTAGTTCGAACAGAACACCCATATGTTGTATTTGAATACACATCTAGATGTGTATAAGAGACAGGGACACCAGTTTGTTTGAATAGTACATACGTGCGTATTATTCGAATAGTACATACGTGCGTATTATTTGAACGTGCGTACTATTTGAATTTCGGGGGGCGACGTCGAGAAATCGACTTTTCTAGGGAAAGTTGAATAGTACAAACGTGCATTTTGTTCGGGGGAAGATTGTAGCCCAATTAGCGGACCGGATCCATTTCTTCATTTGCATTTTGTGTATGCTTTCCAGTCCGTGCCCCTATCTAAGTTCTCGTTGGTTTGAATACGTGAGTGACCCGCAAGGGCACTTGTTTTCACAGGAAGCCCGAAGGGCCAGTACTTACTCGTGGCCGTGTCATTGAGGGTCGCCGCGGGGAAAACACTCAAGCGGCAGGTAGATCGGTGCCACTCTGAGTAGCAGTAGATGTGCCGGGTACTTGGGGCCGAGCAGAGAAAGACAACAGTTGGGATTTTTAAAGGTCCAATATTGGTAGTCCCCCGCTTAGTGTGGAGGTGGCATGTTTCTATTGGCTGCCCCGGTCGTACGACTGAGGCTTATATTACTCTTTCAGTCCGTTTATCGAATTTACGGCAGCGCAGCCCACATGTTCTTCCATGCCGGTCGGTCCGACGCCTCTGGACTCGATCTAATTTTGAACCTTTGACTAATTAGATTGTGGCTGCTGCATCCCGCGCGATCTTTTCTGGTTCTCTTTCAACCCTCCGGCCCTTGCAGCCGAGGACTCTTAATTTTTACTAACCCTTACTTGTTATCACATGCGTCATATCATTGCGTACAGTCACCTAGAAATCTCGGCCTCAATGGTCGAGAAGTTTGTTTCACAACGCTATGCCAAAAAAAAATCACTTTTTACTCCAGATTGTCTTTGTCACGGTAACCGGCGTCGGTACTGTATCGAATGCAAAATCATGAGCAAATACCCTTGTAAGGGTGTTTGCTCCAACAGCGTCTCCTAGAGGCAGCGGTGGAAGGACCAACGAGGACCTGTTGCACCCCGGATGAGTCTCATGCAAACCATGCTCCCACAACCCTTAATATTGGCGAGAAGGTCTGTGCTCCGTGAATGCTTGAATAACTATCGGTTTCGGAGAAGAAGGACTACATAAATATAAAACACCAATAGATAAAGTAGATAAAGGGTGTAAAAAATATAAAATTCAAACAACCACTTTGTCGAGGATGTTGATGTGACCGCCAGGTTGAGAGAAACCACCAAAAAACTGTTATTTTGGTGTGTGTAAAATTGTGTCAACCGCCTTAAGGCCAACCGTGGAGCCCGGAGCAAGACAAACGCTTAACATTTTGCTATAAGTTGTCAACCGCTTATGACCAAGTCTAATGGCCACGTTAGATCTTCAAGATCGGGCGACCCAAAAAAAAAAATTGCTCCAAGACTTTGGATCTCATTTCGGGCCTCTAGTTACAAGGTAGGATTAGTCCTACGCTTTTTAAACCACCAATACCTTCTCCGCTTTAAAAACAAATAAAAAAAATTGTGGTGGTTAATACGGAAGCTCAAGCCCACGATAAAATGGGTACTGGTGCCAGCTAGATGCATTCGTGTCGATTGTTTTTCTACGACATGCAATGCAAATTCAGGCATGTAACCGATATATGAGAAAAGTATTAGTAGGGCAACCAAATAGTTATTGGTCCTCTGCAAAAACAACTTCACAACTTCCATACGGGTACACCTCATTTCGAGTGCTCTTCCACTACAAAAATTGCACCACCTTAACACAGACGCGACAATACTGCATACCCTGGAAGTCTCACTCGTTCGCAGCCCGCCAGAGTCATGTTTTATGCCCCTGAGTCCTTCAATGTCAATTCAACGTTCAACGTCGATCGTTTGGGATGGTGGATGTTTTTGTTTGAGGGCTTAGCAAGGGGGCGGGACAAGCAAAGCTTATTTGGAGCGTTCGTGAGATAAGAAAAAAATGAAGAGGCACAGGTGCCAAGGCCTGGAGGTTGGAAAGGCCGAAACGGAGCGACCCAAGCTTGTACCTTTCAAGCCCTGCCAACCCACTCCCACCCCTCGCACCCCCTTCCACTAAAGGTTTCTTATGAATCTGGATTTCTTACTGCGTCAGATTCAAAGACGAAACAACGCTCTCTCTCTCGCTCACACACACACACACACA